GGTTTGTCATGCTGTCCAACATCCAGCAATATGCCACCAAAATCGGATAAAAATAGGGAAATGAAAATAAGCGTACAGCCACAATGCTGGCTTATGGAAGATTTCTCAAGGGATTTCAGGCTGTATGTACGTAAGGATGTATATAAAGAATGAGCTCAAGCCAGGAAGGAGCTGTCCTGTGGTCCTGAGCACAGTGCCCAACCCAGCAGTATGAACTGTACATGCCCCATAAAAGAAAGGAAACCAGGACAGACATTAGATAGGATCTTCCAGAAGGTCTTTGTTGCAATGTTTTCCATCATTGAAAAAAAATTACATCATCAAATAAGGACAATAGCAGCACAGCTTATTGAAATGTTACAAGCAAATTTGCATTTGTTCTCATAAGAACATTATGAATGCCCCCATACACACTTTAACTGTAAAATGCCTTTTTTAAGCACCATGAAATCTACAAAAAGAAAAATAGGTAAAACACCTCCACACATGGGTTTATCATCATCGTCACTGGGTTTCTTGCCTGTGACTCTGGAATGGAAATGGGGACAAAGGTGGTCATTTGGGTGATTTGCATATCTCTTCTGGGCACCACTGTACTTTCTCCCTTACAGATGGAGCCCTGGCAGCAAGGGTAAGGTCATAAAGGTAACCTTTGTGCCACAGGTCTACTGAGTTGTGAAGCAGTTCTTTTAAGTGTTTTGGTTTTGTTTTGTTTTGTTTTGTTTTAATGCAGGAAAAACTGAGATTTTTCACTTAAGAACCAAGAACATAAGAAGCCTGTCCTCTAATCACAGGCACCTATGAAAATGATAATCATTTCCAGTAAATCAGAGATGTCTTTCACTTCTCTGTCACTAAGCTGGTGTCTTGTGATCCACAGATAGGAGAAGTCCAAGAACATAGAGCATGGATGGGTCGATGCAGTGTAACACAGCTATTGCAGAAGGACAGAGGGCCGAACTTTGTTTAGAGTCATGTAACTGGCACACCATCTCAAGGTCTCCACCGACAGAATTAACAGCACCCACAAAACAAAATGAAAGTGACCTTTGTTTTCAAGTAGAGTTACATTATTCTTAAGACCATTATTAACTAGCTCTTACACTACATCAGCAGAAGCTTCCTGTGTTCACTCAGCCACTGTCTTTGCACACAGTTGCGTTCTAGTGGGAAGAAAGGCTGCCTCCCATGAAGCATTACTAGAATGCAGAATGCAGGAATGTGGAATGCAATGAACATTTGTTTCCTTTTTTATAGAGGCTCTGCATGCTTGTTTGTCAGTCTTGTGATTCTGAAACCACTCTACACACTGGATGGTTTACAAACATACCCACTCTAGTGAGCCAAAATCTGCCCTACCCAAAACCCTGGCAGATATCTCATTAATCCCCCAAACCAAGTGTACAAATAAGTATGCAGGCTTGACTTGGCTAGGAAATGATATCCTCTCAGAGGGATGTAAGGGGGTGGTTTGCTAATGTTTAGCACAGCTAGAACTTTCAACATAGAGTTGTCCCCATAGAACCTAAAAAGCCATTTCCTCCATGCATGTGTGTGTCTGTGTACAAGAGAGAGGGAAGGGGGAAGGGCATGAATTCATACAGTAATCAAAGGGAACTTTTAGTAAAACTGACTACAAATAGCAATGACTTAAAATTCTTTAGTCTTAACACCATGCAAAAATATGCCTTCCCAGCACGACAGTGTGCTAAAGAGCTGTAAGGGTGGATAGAGCCTGAGCCTACACAGAGCACAATCCCAATTGAACACCAGTCTCTCAGATCTGGTCTCCATCAATCGTGCAATAAATAAACACTGAGCTCTCATCCTAACCTAAAATGCAAGGGACCATTAGTCAGTATTCACAAATCCAGCTTGTAATTTTCTGGTTTAAGTGAATTAATTCATGGACTGGGGAAAGGTTTGAAAGAAGACTGCAGAACTGAAAAGGATTTCAGTAATAATCTGTGTTCAACTCCATGTGCAGATGAGGTACAGGGAACCTATGTGCCCATTCACATAGGCTGTGAGGGGTGGAGTACAGATAGTAGTTCCAGACACCTTAATTATCAGCCAGTGACCCTTTCCCACTACACATGTGCACATGCACTGTACATTCCTCCATCCAAAATGATAAATTTCTGGAATTAATCACTACTGGGTTAGGACTGGGTATTGAGCTGTATTAGCCTCTCCACGCTGTCCTTTAGCTCTCACCAGTAAACTTCTAGATGAGATAAAAGCTCTGTATCCAGGTGCCAAATAAAGTAGAAAACTCAAACTGCCCAATGAAGATACTGAACATGTGCTTCTTCCATGTGTAACATCAGTACATTTATTCTGGGTTTACGAGGGAAAAGAGGGGGGCTGAGATGATGCATGTATATAACACGTGCAGATCTGTCATATCACACATGTTTTACTTGCTGTTTTGTTCCATCTCTAAAAGGATAACTAACATTCAAGTAACTTCAATCAACTCAAGTCTTAGCTTGTACACATAAAGAGGAATCAAATTTCATTCCTTCTCAGCTTCTCCTTTGGAGAGTACTTCATAGATTTTGCCCGGATACTCAAAGGATCAATCTTCATAGATGGTCTTCTTTAACATTTGTTAGGGCTTTGATCCTATACTCAGGGAGTGGGTTATACCCCAAAGGCATCCACGCTCCCAACCCAAAGCTATATTTGATTCTCAGTATTACTGTGATTTGACTTTGAGGAAGCATCTATACACAGCAACCCATGAACCTGTTCCATTTGGTAGATTATGCATCTTAGACCTCTGAGCTGTGTTATTCCTGCTGTATGAAGAGTTCCTGCAAGGAAAGCAAGGAAAGTGCAAAAGAGTGCTTTCAATGGGCATTTTAACAACACGGAAAAAGTGCCATTCACAGATTCCCCAAGCCAAAATAGTATACACGAGGTATTTTCAAGGGCAATTGTTGAGGCCAGGTTTACCCAAAGACCTCATGCCCTCTTGGGGTAAAAACTCCTGTATTCCTCTTACCTCTATCAACTGTGCTCAAGAAGCCAGCAAGACAAGTATACACACACACACACACACACACACACACACACACACACACACACCTCAAGGGGGCATGATGCAGACACTGTCACAAAGTTGAAAGCAGGCTTTGATCATATTTTCAATGGCAAAGAAGGCTCTACTGCCTTCTTGCTATGCACTACTGAGTAAGTTACTTAGCCTCCCTGAGTCTCCATGCCCTCATCTGTATAAAAGGTTTGCAACACTTCCCATGTGATATTGTGAAGTTTCAATGCGTGCCATCCATAAAATGCCCAATTCAGTGCCAGGTCCATGGAAGACACTTGACAAATTACAGGGAAACTTCTTTGTCAGATTTGAATCTAGGGATTACAATTTTAACACACGACTAAAGAGATACCAAGGTACTACACAGTGGTAACTTAAATGAACAAGATCTGTGTACAGTTTAATCAGGAAACTTGACAAAACAAGAGAGGGAGTCTCAATTATCTACCTGTTCTTTAAAACACAAGAGGTGAGGCTGGAACCATTCCCATAATAAAAATTCAACATCCATACCTGTATAAGCATCATTACCCAAGAGCTTAGTACTGTGTGGAACACCAGTGTGACCAATGAGCCAAAATTCTGCCCCAATAAAGGAGTTATCCCACAAAGAGCCCTTGACAGAAAGGGCCTCATCATAGGGATTATTTGACTTCTCGAATGTATCAGATTGTTAGCCAGAACAAGAAAGTCTGGGGGCTGGGAAAATGACTTCTGTGTTTCAGGCAAGGGAGGGCTGGAGAGCTGTGCATTTGTGGGAAATAAGCAAAAGATGATAGGTCTTCCATGGTAACCAGTGACCAAAGAGGCAGTGGGCAAAATTTTTCCCTGGGAGTTAGGAAATGGCTGTATGTTTTCTGGAAGTCTCCACTTGTGCTGTGATATTTTAGTAAATATACTGTGAATTGTTATAGGAAAATTCCATGAAATACCCAAAGGTAGTACTGAGCCTGGAAGACCCATAACCTACAATTCCTCATGTTATAAGGTCCAAATGTTTAAATGTGGGTCCCAAATCACTAGCTAACTGAACTAGTGTGACAGTCATCCAACTCTGTTAAAATGAGGTATACACAGACAAGATAATAACCTAGGATGAATTTCCCCTTTCTGGTAAAATTCCATTTAAAATCATCCTCCCAAACCCATGACCAGACATTCTCTTGATTTCGTCCTTCATTGAATGTTGTAACCTGATGAACAATCCTAATTATCAGGTGTTGATTATTGTTGCCTAGAAACAATCATTCACAGGGGATTTACAGTTTTAGTGAATAACAAATGTGATATAAACAAACAAGGAAGGGTTAGGTTTCCAAAATAAAGACAGCCAAACATAAGAGTAAAATGAAATCTTAAATACTTAAGTATTTTTTAAATGGCATTAATGGCACTTAAGCTGCTGCAAGCAATTTAAACCATTTCAGTCATAGTTTAGAAGGGTTGAGTAAGAGATCATTTTCCTTTTGTCTGGAAATAGCAATATTGGGTCTCATAGCTATGTCTACCCTAAGACACCCAAAGGGACAAAACGCCCTGAGATGGAAAGATGCCATGGTCCTCCTCAGTGTGTCTCACAAACGCAGGATGTCTATTTTTACATAAAAAATTAAAGTCAGCTAGACAGAACAGCAAGCCACTGGCATCATGCAAGGCAATAATTTTGGTATTTTCCCCTCCTATCAAAACAAGTTAAAACCGAAGTTCCAGTAGAAAAGTGAGCATGAATGTTTCAAATCAGTTTATTTTCACCTTCACACTCACTGAGGAAAATGCATGATTTGCCTTCCAACCAGGCAGCAGTTGAGGTGTTTTCACCAATGCTTGCAAGTCCACTTGTGGACTACCTAGCCCTGTGAGAAGAACAAAGCTCAGTTGGCCTGTCGGTGGTTAAAGTGATATCCACAGTGGGATGTGTTTTGATTTCTTTTTGTGTGTGTGTAATGAGAAAAGCAATTGCACCTTTTAAAACTTGTGCTCTGATCTGCTTCCAACAAATCCCTGATACTCTTGGGTCCCAAGGACAACTCATTTGGAGCTCAAGAACAGTGGATGTTATGCACTGAATGGTCTGTATCAAAATTCAAACTCAGAGCACATGCCAAAGTGTCAACTCAAGCGCTAGCTAGAGTTACCAGTTCACCTGCAAACAGCCACCCTTCTTGTGTGTGACCCGTCACTAAGGGTAGGTTCAGGAATGGAGACTCCATTTAAAGACACACCTGTTCCTTTAAAGGTGGCTGGTCTAAGGAATAGCTGCCCTTGTCCATGTGCCATGCCAGGGATGCGCTATTGCCCAGGGTACAGCATTGCCATGGGAATTCTACGCACATGGAAAGCTGTGACCCACTATGTGTGCAAACGCCCCTGTGTGTCCTGCAGCTGCTATCTGAAATGAAGTTCTTGTTCTTTGATTCATTTTGGCAGAGCAAGCTTTCAGTCATTTATGGCACAGTGAAATATATTCTTCAATGCTATGTAATTTTGGACTAACAAATCTGTTTAAGGCACATGTCTCAGTGTGAATATAAAAAAAAATAACAACAACAAAAATAAAAAAAAAAAAAAAAACACTTAACCCAACTCAATGTCTTTAACATTTAGTTTCTGTCTTCAAGTAATGAGTTGTTCTCTAGCTCCTGGTCTTTGGTGTCCATGGGTACCATTCCATTCTCCATTTCAGCTTGCTGCTGGATACATTCCGTCAGCATGGCTGTGCTGGAGTTGTCAGAGTTACACATCTTTTCTGTCTCCTCCTCTTTCTTCTCTTCATCCAGGGAGTAATTCCGGAAGGTCTTGTAGATTTTCTGAACATCCTCAGGTAAGGTCTTTTTGAGATCTTTGTTTTTCCTCTTGGTGAGTTTGGAGGTGGAGCCGAACTTATTAATGATGTTGTCCTCAGAAGCACCTTGCCCATGTTTGTTAAGTTGCTCTGACCCCTTGAGACGCAGGTTGTTAGGTCGGTTGTTGATGCTTTCCTGGGATGAGGCCTTGAAGCGGCCTGTGTCCAGGGCTGCAAAGACAGAGCGCTTCTCGGGGGACAGCATGTCCAGTGAGTGGGCCCTCTGGTCCAGGCCCAGCCTCCGGCGCTCCATGCTACGGATGGTGGCTGCCCGCTGCAGCTTGTCATGGATCTCAACGCTGAGCCTCCGTCTTGTCTCTCGGAACTCAGCAGTGACATTGGCTTTCCACTCAGCTGCATGGGCCTTGATTTCACCTACCTGTGCAAAAGACAGCAAAGGACATGATGAGAAAGTTCTCTCCCCTCAGTCTTCTAGCACAGTGTCCCAAGGGGAAGAGGCTGTATCTGGGGGAGACTGGAGGATAATAGAGCATGGCTCCCAGGGAAAGAGACAAAACACTACCTCTTCCCTCACACTCCTTGCAACCCAATTAGATACCCATCACAAACTGGCTAGTGATTCAAGGAGGCACATGAAGAGGGAGAGGGGCATCTGAAGTGCCCCTGAGGCTGGGAGGCTCTGGGTGAATGAGGTGGACAGCATTCTGGAGGAGAGATCAAGATTGGGGTTCCACTTGTCTTTCTTGTCTTTTTTGAACTGTGTAACCTCATTCTTCCCACGTAAAATGAAAAAAGCATATCTGGCTCACAGGGCTTCTATCACTACATAACATTTTTTAAAACCACACCTAACTCGGTCCTGGGCTTTTACAAAGCAGGTGTTCAGCAAGCCCATGTCATCCTCTGTTTCTATTATCTCTGTCTTGGTAGGATGACCAACCTGTCCCAGGTTCCTAAGAATTTATGGGGTTAATCCAAGCACTGAGGACACGGCTCAATAGTAGAGCACCTGCCTAGCATGTGTAAGATCCTTGGGTTCAATATCTAGTAATCAAAAAATAAGTTTTGTGTTTGAGGAAATCCCCTAAGTGCTGAGTAAACTAGGATTTTTGGTCACCTTATATTGGACCATGCTACAACCATGTGTTATGGGGCTTCCCCCTGGCTAAGGAAGCCCCTCCAAGGCTCCTGGGAACCACATTTCTCTGGTTCTTTTGTAGGAAAAGGGTGTATTCTACAAAAGTCCACCTAAAATTCTTTCTTAGAAAGTGAATCTTTGAGAATCAGCACCAAATTTCTTGGTTACTTAATCAGCAGGGCACACAGTACATGTCTCGCATTTTCCCATAAAGCTGAATGACTCAAGGTTTTCATTTAGGAAGGTCAGCATTTGTGTTGTTCTTTTGTTAAAGCTGATCATCAGCAGTTCAGTTGACCATCTGGGGAATCAGACTGGAAATGACTTTGACAGTGTCTATACAAGTCAGGAAAATTAATGTACAGTTCCAGGAATTGGCTGTTCTCCTTCACCAAGTGCCTTCTGGGGGTCTTTATATAGAATAAACTGAAGAGCTACCCTTAAAGGGAGTGTCCCTCTCTTGTTCTCTTGGGTTTTCTTCTCTCCGTTTCTTTAGCTCTTTCTCTTCCTACTTATTTTCCTCTCCTCTTAGAAGAACTGATGATTTGAGCGTCATATAATTTGTCTTCTTATGCCTTTCTTTTCTTGCCTTTGTGTAGGTTTTTCACAGAAATTTATAAGAAGAGTAAAGAATGAATGCCCCTTGCAACAGGGATGAAGTCTTAAGTCTGACAACCTGGGGAGAACACGGGACACAGACTGGAAAGAACCTTTGAGCCCATTTCCCCATGGCTGGCCAGTGTTGGATGACTTTAGTCTCATTGTGTCCAATGGCATTTTTATGCTAACCCTAAGTCTGAAGGACAGGCCAGCTTCCCTGGGCTTCTTATAAGTCCTTGAAGCCTCCCCATGTACTTGCTGACACAGGGCAATTGCATTCCTCCCTCAGCCATAGGAATGGATGATTTCTATTTTTTCTTCACATTTTTTGAAGGAAATTGTTATTGTCTTCTAGGGGTCTGTGGGTTGATGAGTGAATCCCCACATTTTCTCACTTTCCAAAAATAGTTCTAGAAATAACTACTACTATTCCACTCAACTTGGCTCTAGATAGACCAAAAAGGAACCCATATGATCCCCACATGGACTCAAACAGCCCAGGCAAGATAATAGACACTTCTCAACTGGAGCAAATGGGTGTCAAGGACATTCATGGGGCTGAGAGGTGGTCCTACCTCTTCTTTTGTCTTTTTGGATAAAACCCGAAGCCAGTCTCCGATCATACTGAGGACAGCGGCAAAGTAAGCAAGGCCAACAAGGATCCAAAACCACACCAGGGGCTTATACCACTCTCGGTAATTGATGCCAGCATTTCCCCCTGAAAACAACCAAATGTTATCTTAACATGGTAAGCAGTTGGCCTTTACAGAGCATATTCCAGCCCATAAAGTACAGTGAACCCATCATCCAGCATTAGGCTTGCAGGCTACAAGACAGAACAGATACCAGAGGGCAAAGGAAAGGTATGTCCCTATCCTACTAGAGCCTGGCTTGTGGCTTAACTCCTTTGGTTCTTAACCAGTAACCTCAATTCTGTAACAGAAAAATGTCAGTGGCCACTGTGTGCCACCTACTCTCAACCTGAGCATTGACAAAGAATGACTTTTCATAAAAGAATCTCAGATCAGGCTTGCCTGTCATATTGTTTTTCTTAAACTTCTCTAAAAGTATCTTAATAAAAATTCAATATTGTAGATGCAGTGTGGTATTGCACACCTATAATCCTAGCACTCAAGAGGTAGAGACAGGAGAATCTACTCTTAAGTTCAAGGCCAGCTTGAGGTATATAATGAGTTCCTGGTGAGCCAGAGCTACACAGTGAGACCTTGTCTCAAAAAAGGAGGGAGGGAGAGAGGGTGGAAGGATGGAGGGAGGGAGGGAAGGAGGGAGGGAGGGATGGAGGGAGGGAGGGGAAAAGAGAAAGAGCACAAGGGAAGAGAAGGGGGAGAAGAGAAAGGGGGAGGACCAAAGACAAGGGAAGAGGGAGGGGATGGGAGGGGAGAAGAGAGGAGAGAAGGGAGAAGAAAAGGAAAAATATATATTGCTAAACCATTCTAAATGATTTTTGAAAACTCAGAATCATTTCCTTCTTAGGTCCACATGCACTTACCAAGTGAGTGTGCAGAAGTTAGGCATAATGGCATTACTGAGACTTTGATCCATGAAAGCATGATTTAATGCTAAGTGAGGGATAGTGTTTATTTACATGATGCTAATCCAAGAGGTCAATTAAACCAGGCAATTAGAACTGCCATAAGCTGTAGCTAAAGGGTACCTGTGAGAGTATTCCAATCCCATCATTTTATAAAGTATTACAGAAAAAATCCATCAAACCAAATTGGCCAGTTGCCTAAGGGTACTGACTAGCTGTTCCATTGAAAGAACTAGTCATTTATTCCAAATAATTAGCCTATTTATTCTAACATTCCTGCAAGCACTGCTTGAAGACAGACAGCACACAAAATAGGTTCTAAGCCCAGTCCACTCTCCCAAAGGAGGGAGGAAGCTCAGTGATGCCATGGACATGCCCTGTTCTGAGGCATCGCTGCCCAATAAACAAGCAGAGCATTTCTAAAACAATCTATGTGAGTAATGTATTAGCAATATTAGTGGAAGATTTCTAAACTTTCCCACTCGGTCATGATTGTAAACATATCCGGAACCACTGAAGCCATACTGAGCCTTATGGCATCAATAACAGCTTCAAAGATCAGCTGGATAGACACCAGGACCTTTGGCTCTTAACAAGTCCAAATCCACTCTGCAATGTAACCCATGAGTTCTTGTGGGCTACTGCAACTCTTTGAAGTCAGAATTTCAGACACTGGCACAGGGTCCTATGGAGTCAAGTCCCATTTGCTTCAGTTTAGTTGCCTTCATTATTTTTCCCCCTATAGCCAACTCCTCCTTCAGGATTGTTTCTATGCTAAGCCAGAGAATTCCCTGGTATTCTTTCTCCTTTGGGTTAAGTAAATATTTACCCTTGCAAGTCACTAGCACCCAGCCAAGACCATCACTAGGGTGCACTAGCAAGCACTGCAGACACAGCCCTCTAGGTAGTCGTTCATAAGTGGCAAGGCTGGAATCAGAAGTTCTGTGTGCATTCCCATACAGAGTTGTAAAATGCTCCACTGTTTTTAAGCTGCCCCAAAGTGGGTCAGGGATGAAATAAAGAAGTAGACCTCTATGGTTTATGTCCCAATTGTTTTTAGTGGAGTTGATAACCTGTCAGAGCACAGTGATCATCAGCTCTTCCTCATGTCTCTTGTTTTAATGATCCAGCAACCTTCCCTATCACTCAGTGTGGTTGACACCCCTTATGCACAGGTTGTCTTGGTGGATTTAATCAGAGGTGTACCAAAAATATCTGTTCTAAGTATGCACATGACTTTATTTTCATTACTCCCTAATCAACACTGTATGGAAACTATTTACATAGTGTTTATATTGAATTAGGTATTTCAAGTCATTTACACACATATGGTTTAAGGTGTATAAGAAGCTGTACATAAATATGTAAATGCTACATTATTTTATGTAAGGAATTTGAGCATCTGTTGATTTCAGTATCTACAGGGGTCCCAGAGCCAATCCTCTGTGGGTACCAAGAGAAGTCTCTATTAATGGCAAACTCCCATTGAGTGCATTTTTCAGGTATGCATTCTCCAGGTTGGTCTATATGAGCTCTGGAAACTGGAATTTAGAAGACATTTTTCTAGACGCTAGAGAAATGGCTCAGCAGTTAAAAGCACTTGCTGCACAATCCTGATTACCAGAGTTCGGATCCCAGCACCCACATAACAAGCTGGGAATTCCACGCAAGCCAATAATCCCACCTCTAAAGGGAGACAGACACAGGAGGACTGCTGAGGCTTGCTGACTTCTAGTCTACCCAAGAAAACATAAGCCCCAGATTCAATGAGAGAACCTGCCTCAAAGGAATAAACAGAGTGATAGAGGATACTCAAGGCAGTCTTCTGACTCTGCTGGCATCTTCACAGGCATGCATGCCTGCATACATGTACACATACACTCACACAGACACACATATGCACAATTAAATAACCAGGTCTCTAATTTAAGTCAGCACTGTGCATGTAAAAAGAGCCTAATCTGTGAAAACTTCTGTACAAAGGGAATACGGCTCTGTAATCACTAGTAAGGAAGGACATTAAAGCAGATCCTGGGACAGTGTAGGGCACACTCCCCTGAGTAAAGATAAAGGGCCAAGAGGCACCAAAGTGTTCCACCTATAGTGGCTACTAATAATTGCTAAAAGGCATCAACATTTTCCTAGTTCTCACAGTCAGAGCTCTAAGATTTGAGTACTGATTAATAGATTGAACTGAGCTGCTACTTAGAGAGCAGGGTCTATCACAAGTATCTAAACAACTTATAGTCCTCTGGACAGTGACGTGAGCACAGAGAGCTTGGAAACATTCCCTATTGCAAACTACCCTGGAAAGCGCTTAAATAGGTATCAAATGGCTCTTGGCTCCATCTGCTCCCAGATGTATTTATCTTCAATGGAAACCTCATCTGACTTTTTTCAGGAATCCACTACCAATGTTACAAAGAGATTGAGGCTTATGGTTGCTCCTCTTGGCTCAGTTTCTCAGTGTGGTTTCTCTCCAGAGCTTGAGGACTCGAATCAGACAACAGTGGTTGAGTATCTGCACATGGAAAAACTGATGGGGTCCTGGATCTGTGTAAACCCAGGACGAATTTTGCAAGGACGATGGTTCTCACTGCAGCGTCAGGAGACTTAACCACCAAATCACTGCATATCAACCTCTATGATAACTGCTCCTGAGTTTCATATTTTCCTTTTGCTACTTATGGTCTTTATCTGTTGATTCAAGGACCCTCAACACAAGAAGTCCTGAATTCAATAAGAAATTCACTTCACTCTTACATAATTCATGTACTGATGAGGGCACTAAGCATCCTAAGGAGGAGAGTGGCTTCTCAAGCAGGAAAAAAAAAAAAAAAAAAAAAAAACCTGCTGCCGCTGTTACTTATGGTAGAGTTTATAAACACTGAATCATTTTTGTTTGCATTTTCTGCAAACACCTTGTTACCATGATTTTAATTTTTTTTCTCAATGCTGGGGACCCAAACCCAGGGCCTTGGGCTTGCTAACCAACCACTCTAGAACTGAGCTAAATCCTCAACCCCTAATATTGTGACTTTGAAAAGCATAGCCAATAGATGGTTTCCCCCATCAGGGCCCAAGTGACTGGAATGCCCAGGTTGCTTACCTGCAACGAAATCACCAAAGCCCACTGTGGTCAGAGTGACCACCACAAAGTAAATGGACTCCAAGGCTGTCCAACCCTCGATGTGTTTAAAAATGACAGCAGGGATCGTCACAAACACGATGCAGCCAGCCAAGATGAACAGAATGGTTGAGATGACTCGGATCTTGGTCTGACTCACTTGCTTTTTCTAGAAAGAGCAAAGGAATAAGATGGACAGGCAAGTCAGAGGCAGTACCCTGAATTCAGAAGACAGATGCCCAGGAAAGGGTACACATCAGTGATGGTTAGCTTTTCTTAGGTCACAGCTGTGCAAAAATCTAATAGCAACTGTGAACTCCCTTCTAGAGGAATGTACACACAGAAGTTTCCAGGTGGTCTAGGAGGACCACAGGCCCCTTGAAAACCTCTTGTGCTTTCAGTAGTCCTTGTATGGCTCCCTTGCATAGTTCTATAACCACAGCCCAATTCTGATCTAACTTGCTCATTAGTGTGTTGTAATTATTTCCCAAGAAGTGCTTGCTGTCATATTTCATGCTTTCTGGTCTATTAGGGGCCTGGAATTTAGGGATCCCCATGCATTGGCAGTGGATTTGTACCTAGTTTTCCTCATGTCAAAAAGAATAAGCCAGGGGTGGGGGAGAAGATGGCCTTATTGGCTCATGAGGGAGTAGGATCATTGCTCACATTCTCCAAGTCTCCTCCTCTGAAAGGAAGGAAAACAAATGAAAAAGGTATAAGGACAAAGTTAAATAAAAGGGGAAAAACCCCACTAGTCCTCATTTGTGGCAGCCTTTAAGCCAAGTTTTAGTATGTATTTTCACCCCCTGTGGGATAGGTGCAGCTCTCTAAATGCACATTTAGTTGAGCAGATGCTGTGGTTATCATGTTGTTGACTGTTTCACCCATGAGACAGGACACTAGCCAGAATGACATAGTCCCTTCCTGAAATATCATAGAAGCTTTAATCTATGCTTCTAAAGAAGTCAGAAGTTTGGCAGTAAACATACATGAAGATTGGGAATTGGACTCACACTAAGGCAAATTAATTATGAGAGGCATCTAGCAGAGTCCTAGGTGGCCATGTTGCATCCTTAGTAAAGCCTTCCCTCAAATGTACTAAAGGCTACCCTGGCCTTCCCTCTCATGGAATAATCTAAATCTTATCCAGACTCCTAGAACTGGTGCTAGAGATTGTCACTGGGCATCCTCAGTACCATTTAATGGTATAAATATATGAAATATATGCTTAACACTATGCGATCTGTCTACATTGCCTTGATTGGTTTTGGCAAAAGCACAAATCAATATAGGAAATCTGTACCATGGAATCTGCTTCCTGTTCATTGCTTCTGTGAGTATGAAGGTAAAGAATCTCAGAGCATAGAGAGGCCATTGCATTCATGTTCTCATTTTCTGATATAAAACCAGAAGCCAAAAGGGTGAGAGACTTGCATAAAATGCTGCTTCTAATGAGGGGCAGAGCCCAGATTAGAATTCTGTTGTAATTAACTCTGTCTTGTGGTTAATGATGGAAACAGCTCTTCAAGTTATTAAACAATTCATCAGCTCAAAGCAAGTTGTCAGAAAAAGTTGTCCTTCCCTAAAGCAAGATACTAGATTCACTCCTCCTGAAGAACAGGCCATCCTGTGTCTATTCTGAGAAGGAAGACTGGGAATGAAAACTAGTCACTGGGTGATCTGTCCAGAAAAAGCTGGAGAAACCCCAAAATAAAAGGGTGATCCTCTGGCTCCAAAATGGCATGTAGTGGGAGTAGGGAAAACAATTTAATCTCAACTCCTGTCTTCTCCTTGAATGCCCAGAAAGGCCTTCTGAAGAAAAAAAATGATGAGATTACCTGAAAACCATGGAATGCTTTGCTCATTCCATTAGCTCCTATAGTGGATGAGAGAATTTTGTTGGGAGCAGCTGAGCCCCTCTGATGACCCAGGAATCTACTAGCCTAGCTTGGCTTGTAAACATGCATGCAAAGTCCAAAGCCACGAAGGAGATTTCACTGCACACCATTAGGTTAGTCTAATTGCTGGCAATGGGACTATCATCTCTCCCTTCTGTAAATTGCCCTATTCAAATGCATAATAAAATTAAAGTGAATTAAGTGCTTATGTGATGGGTTTTTTTTGGGGGGGGTCTCTTTGAGACAGGGTCTCCCTGTAGCCCCAACTGTCCTGGAACTCACTATGTAGACCAGGCTGGCCTTGACCTCACAGAGATCCACCTGCCTCTGCCTCCCAAGTGCTGGGATTAAAGGTGTGCACCACCATGCCTGGCATGTGATGGTTATTAAGTCATAAATTGGAATGTGAATGCAACTGCATTATAAATGAGGATGACTTTGACAAAGAAGGGCAACAAGTATATAGGAGGGTGGAGATCCACCTGCCCTCCTTCTGAGATGGACAGGAGTAGCCTTCCTTGGTGGAGGGGAAGATAGCATATAGCAAAGACCAGGTGGTATATACTACCCTGTCTACATTGCCTTCTAGAGTTTATCTGCAAGGTAAACATTTCCCCTTCTAGTTCCTGCTCAAGCTGACTAGTGTCACTCAGTGGACACTCAGGGGTGATGCTCAGAAAATATTTGGAGCATTTAATTATCTGGGGAGTTTGGGTGACTTAAGAAATTTTGCATGTATGTGGGTAGGTGTATGAAAATAATGCATATACACTCATACTTTTTATAAAAAGAGGTCTGAGCCTAAAGTTTCATCAATGTCTGTTATCGTGGGCATTTCTGTTTTTGCTGTCCTCTAAATAACAGCAACAACAAGAACACGGTTGCTTCAATTGAACATTTTGAACTACAGAATTCACCTTGGAGCCTCTGCCCATTTCACATGCCATGTGTGGATCGTCGGGCATTGGCTCTGCAAGTGTTCATTCTCACTGTAGAAGGGTTTCTAAGGATACAGTCTAGGGACAGCCTACCTGAGACATATCCTATCCATATTGCTAAACAGCTGAGGGGCCCTGTGCAAATTTTTTGACCTTTCTACATGTTCATTTCTATGCATTCTCCATTAATGAAATGGAAATTAAGAAATTCCACCTTGTGGGGTGGTTTGGAAAAGTAAATGTGTGTAAAGACTTAATGCAGTGCTGCTAAATGCTCAGTAGTTGTTAACTGACACTTTCTGTGTAAAAATTCAAATCTTTCCTTTAATGTGAACAGTGTCAGACTTAGGGCTTCTCTTTGCTGATGAGAAATGCCCCCATCATAGCTTAAGACAATTTCCATCCAGCCTTAGGAGGTCACTGCTGCTTATCCCTTCCTGGATGCACTATCCCATACAATTACTTCATTTTCAATTTGGGAAAAGTAGTTCCTTCTCCCTTGGTTCCTCTGTGTTAATTCTGGATGAGCCTCTTAGATATTCTAATTTTGTTACTTGGGAAGTTTTTTTTCAATTTATTTCTCTCTGCTTTTCAATGAATCTTTCTGAAATTGCTAAGAGTTGCCTATAGCCTCTGGGATGTGAGCAACAAGCTACAGAGGGAAATTGAGAGGCCCAGGCCTCTTCTTCCTCCCTGCCTCTCCAGACCCCGTGTCACACTCTACTTACAGGCCGGAGCTGGTGGGGTTGCTAGGCAAAATCACACCATTGATGTACCAGTAACAAAACGGCTACCAGAAAGTTTTGTGCAAAGGCCCAGATCCAAAAGAGCCAAGGTTAGGCTAAGAGAATGGCTATGTGGGAGGAGATGATTTGATATCACATTTGGGCAGAAGTGACGAGAGTATTGTGTTTTTCTGACCCAATCTTTTGTTCCCACTTTGGTGACTATATAGGACAGATCATGTCTTCTTTTATAGATAACTGCATACTATTATACAAATTCCATTTTACAAAACTATGTCTTGTTTCCAACTGGTACTAACTATAGGAGTTTTTGAAAAACTCAAAATTCATCTCAGAGGAAGTTTATTAAGTCACAAAAATGTATGTGAAGTTATACTGAGAAGGACACATGAGCAGGAGGAAAGGGTCAATTCTTAGCTCCACTCCAAGAGAGAAGTGTGCATGGAGAACTCTGTTTACTGTTTCATATATCAGAGGGCCAAGCCACATGTCCAATTATCATGAACACAATTCTCTGGGGTTTTTTTTTTACATCTACAGTGTTATTTTGGAAAGCACAGATATTTCTATTCATTTGTGGGCTATTTTACTTGATTTTTTACTTCCTCTAATATCTGCTTTTCTTCTCATCTTTATGTGATTTCTTAGAATTCTGACATTCACTATATAGATTGCTTTGTCTGGCTTAGGAGTATTTTTAGTATGCTTTTTTAGCCAGGACACTGGAAATCTTATTCAAAGACATAGTAATAAAAGTACTAGAAACAGAAGCTGGATACACAGAGCTTTCATTTATGGTGTGTTGAAATGCAAACATATCATCGTGGTAATATAACTGAACTGAGGATAATTTCTCAAAGTGGAATGATAACAGAAAGTGTCTCCCTAAAGGTTTGATTTTAGCTTCTTACTATATTTTCTGCCAGGATTTTTCTCTGAAAGGTCCTATCATCACTAATTGTTTCAACATCATAACGAATAGCCACAAAGCACCAGCAACTCTACAAACTTGAAGACAGCTTTTGAGCAATGTAGTCTAAAATCTCCATGGTAGAGACATTCTAAACATAGGTTAGTCACTGCACATGGCAGAGATGCTCTAAACATAGATTAGTAAGAGCACGTAGTAAAATCTCCATAGACACCACTTACAACATCCCACTCAAAACCTCAATACACAAATGAATCATATGTATATTCAATAAGGAGTGAAAGAGTTCCATCCAGCCTCTGATCCAATCACTGCTCTGATGATTCTTACCATACAAAGCTTTTGGAAAGATTCTGGTGCATAAAATGGCACGATCTTTATCATTGGAGTCCAGTGGAAATGCAGCTGGGCTAAAGAAAAGTTTAAGTTCATAAATAATAAAATTCTTAATCCACTCCAGGAATTCTTTAATTTTTATCCATTTACTTATACAGTCATCAAATTAAGAAAAGTCATGGAAAAGAGACCCCAGGACTTTATTAAAACTTTTGACTTCCATCTCGAACATACATTATTGTGTCTTAACATGAATAAGTTAAATAGTTCAGTAGTTGAACAAGAATATCTGAATTCTGGAACTCAAGGGGGAATAATAA